ACAGTGGTCCTCTGGTGTGTGAGTCTCACAGTGGTCCTCTGGTGTGTGTGACTCACAGTGGTCCTCTGGTGTGTGACTCACAGTGGTCCTCTGGTGTGTGAGTCTCACAGTGGTCCTCTGGTGTGTGAGTCTCACAGTGGTCCTCTGGTGTGTGAGTCTCACAGTGGTCCTCTGGTGTGTGAGTCTCACAGTGGTCCTCTGGTGTGTGAGTCTCACAGTGGTCCTCTGGTGTGTGAGTCTCACAGTGGTCCTCTGGTGTGTGAGTCTCACAGTGGTCCTCTGGTGTGTGAGTCTCACAGTGGTCCTCTGGTGTGTGAGTCTCACAGTGGTCCTCTGGTGTGTGAGTCTCACAGTGGTCCTCTGGTGTGTGAGTCTCACAGTAGTCCTCTGGTGTGTGAGTCTCACTGTGGTCCTCTGGTGTGTGAGTCTCACAGTGGTCCTCTGGTGTGTCACTCACAGTGGTCCTCTGGTGTGTGAGTCTCACAGTGGTTCTCTGGTGTGTCACTCACAGTGGTCCTCTGGTGTGTCACTCACAGTGGTCCTCTGGTGTGTGTGACTCACAGTGGTCCTCTGGTGTGTGTGACTCACAGTGGTCCTCTGGTGTGTGTGTGACTCACAGTGGTCCTCTGGTGACACTCACAGTGGTCCTCTGGTGTGTGAGACTCACAGTGGTCCTCTGGTGTGTGACTCACAGTGGTCCTCTGGTGTGTGTGACTCACAGTGGTCCTCTGGTGTGTGTGTGACTCACAGTGGTCCTCTGGTGTCACTCACAGTGGTCCTCTGGTGTGTGAGACTCACAGTGGTCCTCTGGTGTGTGAGACTCACAGTGGTCCTCTGGTGTGTGAGACTCACAGTGGTCCTCTGGTGTGTGAGTCTCACAGTGGTCCTCTGGTGTGTGACTCACAGTGGTCCTCTGGTGTGTGAGTCTCACAATGGTCCTCTGGTGTGTGAGTCTCACAGTGGTCCTCTGGTGTGTGAGTCTCACTGTGGTCCTCTGGTGTGTGAGTCTCACAGTGGTCCTCTGGTGTGTGAGTCTCACAGTGGTCCTCTGGTGTGTGAGTCTCACAGTGGTCCTCTGGTGTGTGAGTCTCACAGTGGTCCTCTGGTGTGTGAGTCTCACAGTGGTCCTCTGGTGTGTGAGTCTCACAGTGGTCCTCTGGTGTGTGAGTCTCACAGTGGTCCTCTGGTGTGTGAGTCTCACAGTGGTCCTCTGGTGTGTGAGTCTCACAGTGGTCCTCTGGTGTGTCACTCACAGTGGTCCTCTGGTGTGTCACTCACAGTGGTCCTCTGGTGTGTGTGTGACTCACAGTGGTCCTCTGGTGTGTGTGTGACTCACAGTGGTCCTCTGGTGTGTGTGTGACTCACAGTGGTCCTCTGGTGTGTGTGTGACTCACAGTGGTCCTCTGGTGTGTGTGTGACTCACAGTGGTCCTCTGGTGTGTGTGACTCACAGTGGTCCTCTGGTGTGTGAGTCTCACAGTGGTCCTCTGGTGTGTGAGTCTCACAGTGGTCCTCTGGTGTGTGAGTCTCACAGTGGTCCTCTGGTGTGTGAGACTCACAGTGGTCCTCTGGTGTGTGACTCACAGTGGTCCTCTGGTGTGTGTGACTCACAGTGGTCCTCTGGTGTGTGTGACTCACAGTGGTCCTCTGGTGTGTGTGTGACTCACAGTGGTCCTCTGGTGTCACTCACAGTGGTCCTCTGGTGTGTGAGACTCACAGTGGTCCTCTGGTGTGTGACTCACAGTGGTCCTCTGGTGTGTGAGTCTCACAGTGGTCCTCTGGTGTGTGAGTCTCACAGTGGTCCTCTGGTGTGTGAGTCTCACAGTGGTCCTCTGGTGTGTGAGTCTCACAGTGGTCCTCTGGTGTGTGAGTCTCACAGTGGTCCTCTGGTGTGTGAGTCTCACAGTGGTCCTCTGGTGTGTGAGTCTCACAGTGGTCCTCTGGTGTGAGTCTCACAGTGGTCCTCTGGTGTGTGACTCACAGTGGTCCTCTGGTGTGTGAGTCTATGTGATGCCACCAATAGGTATCTCAATACTAAAGATTGTTATAATATTTGGGCTCTTCGAAGCTTTTGCTAACTTCCCGTTCTAATAATGTTATTTACTATAGTTGAACTCTAGTAACCATTCTCAAGTCCACTCTTGTTGGGATGCTGCAGTTTTCTCTTATCCTTAAGCTGTTTATCAGCATATGTTATTTACATCTAACAAGAACATTAGGGCCTAATACTAGTCCTTGTGGCACTCCACTTGTCACCACTTCCCTGTATTGTTCAGCCTTCCTCACACTGATGCTTTGTCTGCTTCTTATCAGGTGTATCAATACCAAGTCTACTTCCTTTCCTTCTGATTTTTGTTTTGAAATTTATTGAGGACTTTTTATTTTTTGGATTTTTTTAATTTTGTTTTGAAATTTCGAAGATAGTGCCTGCCCGAAACGCTATGCGTGTTAGGTGGCTGTGCAAGCATGTAAGAGCACCAGTGTTATGTAATCTCACAAACTAATGTTCCTTTTGTAAATAATAAATAAATAAATAAACAAACAAAAAGATAAATTTAGAGCTTCCTGTTATCCCATATTCTTTCACGATTTTATGAGAGTTTCTTGCTAGGGGATTGACCTTCCCTGAAGCCGGGTTGTGTCTCGGTAACGAATCATTTCTCTCAACGTCATTTACCACATTTTCTCTGACCATTTTCGCAAATACCTTCAGCGTGTTTTCTGCCCTGGGATTTCTAGAAATAATAGTGTCAGAACTTTTGAAAGATGAGAGGGAAAAGCTCTCCAGTCATATTTTCTTACAGGTGATTGGCGGAATGATAGCAGTTCCCCGGACTCAGGAGGAAAATTCACTTGTGTACCAGTCAACCCAGAGCTGGGGTCAAAAGTGCTCAGGGCAAGTTGGTTCATCTTACTTGTGGCTTGGCGCCACCGACGCCGAGGTGGAGGGCCGGTGGGTGTACTGGGGCTCCAGGGGACCCATTCCCTGGCAGGGGCCCTGGCGTGGACAGGGGCCCAATGGTGGCGTGGTGGAGAACTGTCTCGTCATGCTCTATGGCAACGATGAGGGAGAATGGTCCGACATTGCCTGTCTTGACTCGTATGCGTTTTGTGTTGCCTGCGAGATGGAGCAGCAGTCGGTGATGTACTTCAAGGGTCCGGCTCTGTGCCCCAACTCGCCTTTCAATGTGCAGTATGTGATGGGAGAGGAGAGGGGAGGCAGACCCTCTCTAACAGGATTTTTGCACTCTGATATTTTCTGGGATGTTAAGAAAGGAGCATGGGTCCTTCAGTCACTAAAGGTAGGTCCATATCCAAGGCTTATGTAGTGTTTTTCTTTAAAATTAAAATATAAAGCAAATGCCAACCTAATACATTTTCACAAAAGGACAGACATCAGTCATCTTGCAATAACTATCAGGGAGAAGCAGCAGTCACATTATCCCTTCTTAATGACCATTCAAGTCAATTCGCAAATGTTGGCGTGTTGGTCGGGTTTGTGAGGAGTGTGTACTGGGACGCAGCCAGGCCTCCTCACGCCATCTCACTACATTCCCGATACAACCCAACACAGTACTTCCTAGCCAGTGAATATTTTTTGCTGGTAGGTGAAAGGAAACGGCGCCCAAATGGTTCTGTCCTGCCACATGTATTGAACCGGTCGGCCGAGCGGACAGCACGCTGGACTTGTGATCCTGTGGTCCTGGGTTCGATCCCAGGCGCCGGCAAGAAACAATGGGCAGAGTTTCTTTCACCCTATGCCCCTGTTACCTAGCAGTAAAATAGGTACCTGGGTGTTAGTTAGCTGTCACGGGCTGCCTCCTGGGGGTGGAGGCCTGGTCGAGGACCGGGCCGCGGGGACACTAAAGCCCCGAAATCATCTCAAGATAACTCAAGATAACCTCAAGAACCCCGGACTCCTAGTTTGGAGCCAGAGACGTAGCCCACTATGCTACAGGACCCCTTCATGGTGTTACGACCATGAACCATACATGTTTGAGCCCCTTGTGTGGGGACATTACCGTGACCCTTGTACTGGTCACGGTGTGTCCGTGGCACAACCTCCATGTCTGAAGTCTAGCCGAACAGTGAGCCGGGCTCCGCTCCCTGGAGCAGGCTTGGTGCACGCCGGTGGCGTCACATATAAAGCTCGTCACTGATTGGCTGAGCACCTGAGCCTCAACCAGTCATCTCTTATGTTGCATGAGCTCTAAACAGTGTCGCTGTACTTCAGCAAATCCCGGGCGTGTTACTGCCCACCCGGGCGCAATTTTATTTTGCAATCTGCCACAATTTACTTCTTTACAGACAAATATTACGCAAGATTGTGTATAAGACTTGTTCCTTTTTTAACTAAAATTACAGCTTGGGCCGTCTGTGATTTTTCTAGGTAGGTAAAAATGACCATTGAGGTCGGAAAGGACGGTTATTAGACGGTGATCATAACACTCCACCTGGATAGTTATTCAGATATAATGATATTTGAAAGCATATTATGGTTCCAGTAGTAGTCTTACGTGTAAACTGGCAAGTGAATATTTGTTCTAAACAGAGCATATTCTTAAGTTATAACTTTATTGTATTATAAACGATTGGTTAAAACATGAAAAATCTATGCTTAACTTGTTTTATTTAAAACAGACTGAATAATTTAGTTTTCTGTAAATGAAATTCTAGGGGATACTCAAATAGTTTTCGAATTTCATTTTTTTCATGTTTAAAAATAATACACCTTATTAACATAATCAAACATAATGAACCCTAATGTAACCTAACCTAAGTTAGCATAACCTTAATGTAACCTGATCATGGCAGGCCAGGCTACAGGATTTAAGCTAGGATATTATTAGTAGATAATATCTCTTAATTATGTAGTGGCATTGAAGTGATTACCTCCAGGATACCTTCTCCCTGAGGACAGATTGCTATATAGTTTACTTTCCTAACAACTATGTCCCTGTTCATTTTCTCGAGTTTCTATACGTATATGCCCTGGTGTAGGATGAGGCGGCCATGGCGTGGTGGACCCCCAAGAGTGATGGCATGTACCCGTATGGCACCAAGCCCTGGACTCTGGGCTCTGACCTGTGCAACATGGACGCTGGCCACACCGTCAACCTCACTCTCTCAGTGTGTGGCTCGGGCATGTTTACCTGCAGAAGCGGCTCCTGTATTGGGCTTCACCAGCGGTGTGACCTGAAGGTAGACTGCCCAGACAAGAGTGACGAGGTTCAGTGCACCCTGGTGGACATATTACCAGGCTACAGTGTCAATATACCTCCGCCACCACTTGCTGGGGAGTCACAGCTGTCTGTCTACTTCATTATCAACATCTTGTCGTTCCCTTCAATAGCCACAGAAGATCTTACCTTCGTCAGCACCATGGATATAACAATGCAATGGAAAGACACAAGACTTAGATATTTAAATCTGAAGGAGGACCGGACCTTAAATGTTGTCTCAGATGAATACGTGTCAAAGATCTGGACCCCTCAAGTGTTCTTCAGCAACGCGAAAGGCAATGTGTTTACTAACCTCGATAAAGGCTCACGTGTTGAGTGTATACAAGAGGGCAAGCCTGTGGCTGGTGGGCCAGACCTTCCGGAGGAAGGTAAGTGAAATTCACTCCAGTTATTCCATCTACCATTATCTTATTATGCAATAACAGTACATACCTATGGGTCATTCAGTGAGGTCAGCAGACGTGTTATTGCTGCTGCTAGGCTTTGGTTCGTCAAAAAGCACTTCTCGGGGGTTTGCACCACCTGCTGACGTTAATCTGACCAAATGTAAACTGTCACCAGAACTATTCATATGCCAAACGCCACTCTGTTACTGAATTTGAATAATTCAGAATGATGCACAACCAGAAATCTTAGTCAAATTTCCAAAATTTACCGCCATATGCTATACACTTGATTGTAAACTTTGCACAGACGTCTATACAGGATGGTGAAGGGCGCACGATTAGTAAATTAAACTATATGTAACTGGCTCCCCGCAGATGAAAACTACTTTGCTTAAGAGACTGTTGTAGCCTAGTTCTTGAACTATTTGTGCACTAAATGACAACATCGCTAAATTACATATGGACATATATAGCTCTATCATTTGAATGGTGGCATTAAACCATTGAATGTTCATTTATTTATTTATTTATATATACATGAAGGCACATTGGGTTTGTGAAATTACATAACAATGTTTTTACATTCTTGCAAAGTCAGTAACACGCATAGCGTTTCAGGCAGGTCCTTAATCTAACAGATAAGTAGGTAATTTAGAGCAAAATTTGGAAAATATTAATAGGTATATTGTAGGAAAATTTGAAGAATATTATTAGGAACATTGTAGCATAATCTAAAGAATATTAATAGGTACATTAGAGCAAAATTTGCGTTCAACATAACGACTATGATATTAATTGATAGCAGTGATTACAATGGTGAAGCTGCATGTCTTAGGCACACACATTGGGGGAGTGGGTAGCAGAAGATACAGTGCGAGTTTGAAGCAATAGGTAGGAAACTGAGGATAAAATTAGGTACTTTTTGGTTTTACTTTTGAATAAGGCTTAGGTTGGACAGCTTTTTAATTCGTTAAGGAGCGAGTTCCATAAACTAGGTCCCTTTATTTGCATAGTGTGTTTGTACAGATTTAGTTTGACTGGGTATATCAGAGGTATTTATCTGGTGTGGTGATCATGGGTTCTATTACATTTATCAAGGAAAAGTTGCAGATTAGGATTTGCATTTAGCAACAAGGTTTTTTGCGGATTTTTTCTGGGTGATAATGGGCGTGAGGTAATTTTCATTGGTTGAACCTAATGTGCAGATACCGTATGTAAGATAGGGATAGATTAGCGAGTAGTATAATGAAAGGAGAGCAGATTGGGGAACATAATATCTAATGGTAGAGAGTATACCAACAGCTTTTGATGCCTCTTTGGCTGTGTTTTATTTGTGTGCAGTGAGCATGTTCGCGGGGAGTGAGAACAGTGTGCAGGTGAGCCAACTCTACAGCGTCACCTACAACTGCGACTTCAACCTCCTCATGTTCCCCTTCGACGCCCAGGTCTGCCGCCCATGCTTCTCTTCACCTTACTACCTACATTGTATTTAATTGTATTTTTATTGTATTTTTTGAAGTGTAGGGCGATTTTATAATTTATTGAAAGATTCAGTTCATCTTAACGTTTTGATGCAATTTCCTAAGTTCGATTCGAGACCCAAATGGAAATTAAAAAGCAAATATCTTGGCATATATTGGTCTTCGCAAAAACAAAACAAAAATGAATAAATATTGGTCTTCAATTAAAGCGTCAGGGGGATATATGCACAGAGGTGGACCCATCTACTAGGTATACATATCTTAAGGGCTCATAGTGAGCAGTAAACTCTCCAGAGGTTGATAGATCTTTAGTCCAACATGTAACAGAATTGAAGGGTTTTACCAGTTGAAATTGTTATTCAAATTCTAACCTAATTCTAACCTGTCCTAGGTCTACCTTGTACAGTCTTAAACCTAATTTAGTATACAGTATATCACACCTAGGATAGTATATACAGTATATAATTATACTTGGTTGTTTCTTCTTTTCAGAGTCCTATACATAATAGTACCATACACGGACTTTCCCCAGCCCTATACGTAATAGTACCATACATAGATTTTGTATTAGGCGCGAGAGTCCATATACTCGGCTAGTTTATTCTAGGTGAGAATACCTGGACTCACACACCAGTGTGAGAGTCCATACCTGTACACACCAGTGTGAGAGTCCATACCTGTACACACCAGTGTGAGAGTCCATACCTGTACACACCAGTGTGAGAGTCCATACCTGTACACACCAGTGTGAGAGTCCATACCTGTACACACCGTCTATATTAGCTATATTTACTACCATTGATGAAGAGAAGGTTGATATCATGTCTAAGACTGGAGGTGTCGCTGGCAGGCGTGTGCCCTGACCTTCCGCCTGGTCTCCGCCTCCGCCGCCTACCTCACCCTCGTACCGGGACACGCTAACTACTCCGGCCAGATCAACCTCGTCGAGTATGCTATTGGTGAGTCTTGTTAGTGGTGAGTCTTGTTAGTGGCGAGTCTTGTTAGTGGCGAGTCTTGCCGCCTTTTCAGCCCTCACACTTATCATTATTTTCCTCACTACGTTACGATCAGATTATGTTATTTTTATATTATCTTGACAGTGAGGGGTATCTAGTAACCCACCATGTAGGGTGCAGTGTCTGTGTATATATAATACAATCAGCCTGCTTACCCAAAGGTTGCAGAGTAGAAAGTACGGATGTTTCACTTCTAAATCAACATTTGCATGTTGTATGCGTCTCTTGCATCGCAAAATGATGTTGTCTTGGTCAATCCAGAGACCCAGATTGTGGGAACCGACCTGTGAGATTTATATTTATTTAATTTATATGAATTTATATTTACGTTAATTTATATACTTCGATAGCAATTTGTATAATGATAAGTGGACTGTATTTCTGCAATAATCTCATAATCTCACAAATCGATCCTCTACACATTAGGGGGGTTTATATTAATTTATATATATGCAGCCAATCAAACTACAGTAATAGACTACATACATTGAAGAGGTTCCTTATCTTATAGTACAGCAGGTTAGTCCACCAGGTATAACTAGGGTGTAGACACCAAATTATCCTCTTTGAGGTAGCTTCCATCACCCAGGTAACTGATGCACAAAGCATATGCTTCCTCGTCTTGACCTGTCAAAAGGGCGCTAACTGTGAAGCCAGGTTCTATATATGACAAGCTATATCAGAGAAAACACTATACATGGAACATTAAGACCTGGCTTAATTACCTTTAGTTTGAGGCTGCCTTGCGTTCTAACCGGGCCACCCTACCCAATGACATTAATGGCCACTAATGATAGATATACGGGTTTCAGAAAGAACACTGAACTTGATTTGTTGACAACGTGTTGAAGATGGTACACCTTTGGTTTCCATAACACTACGTCCAAGTAAAATTAACAGGAGCCGTATTTGCTCCCGTGAGCCTCTGGTCTCAGTATAAACAATGTATAAACACTCCATACTACTGACGCCTGGCTGACATTGTCCAGATATGATAGGAGCCGAATTTGCTCCACGCGTCTCGGAGGTGACACAACAATGGCTGCCCTCCTTCCCCACTCTGACGCCTAGCTTACATTGTCCAGATGTCAATAAGTGATAGAAGGGTCACATTTACTCTACTTTAATATTGATAATTAAGTTAATTTATATGAGATGTTTTATGATGGTAAAGTCCAAAGACTAATGTATTTAAGAATAATTCCCAGCAGAATAGCTGGTGAATTTATAATGGTATGTGGTGATGATATCCCGTTTTCTATAGACGGTAATTCCACTACAAGTTACATTTTCTATGGGTAACTTGTTGGTAATACAGCAGCAATTATTATCTGTCTGTATGATATTAAATGGTGTCGGATTTTCCGACACAGATCATTAATGGTCTTAACTGGGAGGTTCTCAAGGTCTTCCCCATAAGTTTGTGTTTGCTGTACCCAGTAATTCAGAGCACTGAAATTTGTGTGATGCCCATTTTGTTTAAGTCAAACATTGAGGGGACTCGGATTAGTTTATTATTTACTTCAGAGTACTGAGTAGGATCAATTACAAAAGCCCTGAGTGGTTGTGGTATCTCAGTGGGAGAAGTGACATTACTCACAATGACGTGTGGCATTTCTTTAGGCTACTGGTCACTGACTAGCCACTGAGGCTCATGGAACCACATCTCAATTTTGGATGATTGTTTCAACGTCAATCGTCTGTAGAGAGTCAGCAGGATCCTCTTTTATGGGTACATATCCAAGTTTGTATCCAGTTGACAACTCTTACGTGATTGATCACGTAAGGTGTTTTACTATTATTATTTTTCACCCACTGTAGTACTGCCTCATTATCTGACCATACCACTGTTTCTTCAAAGTGGATGTTGCTTAAGATTTTGGTCAGATAATGAGCCAATTTTACTCCTAGCAGTAAGGCAGTTAACTCCAGCTGTGGCAATGGCCGTTTCTTTAAGGGTACCATCCTGGCTTTAAATGTAAGCAAAGTTGCTTGTTCATTTGTCACTAGGTAGGCTACCGTGCCGTAAGCATTTCCTGAGACATCGCAGAATACATGTAGCTTAATTTAGAAACTGTACTTTTGATGGATCTCGAACCCATTGATGATGTGACGACTTAAACTGAATTTTGTAACTATCTCATCAAGATTGTAACTTGCTTAGCTAAATGAATTGTGGGGTTCAGTTCCTAAGGCCATTATGTGCCTAAGGCACATAATGTGTGCCCCCGGCCCGGTCGACGACCGGGCCGCGGGAACGCTAAGCCCCGGAAGCACCTCAAGGTAACCTCTGTAACCCTTTCCACTACCGCCCACAAGATGGGTATGGGGTGCATAATAAATGAACTAAACTAACTAGTGGTTGATAATTATACATACAACAAAATAATGGTGGAGTATGTAGAGTGAGCAGCACCCACGGTGTCAAGAACTTAACTACCACCCTCGCCTCTCAGGTCGTTTGTCCATCAGCTCGTTCAAGGACGGAGGGTTCTCGTCCGTGGCTGTTCAAGTGAGGTTCGCGCGCCGCTACGGCTTCTACCTCCTCACGCTCTACATCCCTACCATCCTCCTTATCTTCATCGCTTATGCTACCTTCTTCTTCAACCCTGATGACTTTAACTCCCGTATTACTGTGTGTCTCACGGCGCTTCTGGTCCTGGCGTCTCTCTACACCCAGGTTAGTCCTCCCCTCACACTACCATCTTCAAACATTAATCTAGGAATATTTTGTATATGTTTATTTATTTATTTATTTATTTATTTATATGTACAAGAAAGTACATTGTATTTATGAGTACATAGTATTAATGTTTTTACTTGTAAAGCCACTAGCAGGCATAGCGTTTTGGGCAGGTCCTTAAGTTAACAGTAGTAAATACACACACTCCTATGTGTCACCTTGTGGTGGTGAGGAGGTTCACATATACGACTCCCAGTGTTGTCTTGGACCCCCACCCCCCTCTCCTGCCTCTCTTGTCCCTCTTCCCCCTCTCCTGCCTCTCTCTTCCCCCTCTCCTACCTTGTTGAAATATTCCACTCATCATATCAGTTATAATATAAGGAATGAAATATTTCCATACCATACCTATATTTTATCTAAGAATCATATCTACTAATGATTTAAGGATCATCTGTATCTACATCAAAAGCCATCATGACCAATCGGTCACGTACTCTATTGAGCTTAATGCCTGTATAACATTGAACATGTAATATCAAGAATATAGGAGCCAATAATCAAAAAATATTATTGGAACAAAAGGTATAGCTTCCACCATCATTTAATCCTCAACACTGCTACAAGTATCCATCCTACAGTAAATGCTACTAGGAATTCATTCAACATCAAGCTGCTTATCTTCATAAAAAATACAGTCTGATCTCAGCAAGAGGAACATTATCTGGCTACTGTTAGATAGGCTCCGGTTCTCAATTCAGGATAAGTTATTGGTTGTTTTAGAGAGTAGATTGGCCAATTGAATGCTAAGACATTAATATACATCCATATATAAATCGAGTCGTTAGGTAGCGAGGCAACGCCTCATCGTCTAGTATGTTGTGTTAATAACCTATTCAGTAACTGAATCCTTCATATAAATCTGATCTATATTTTAATATATAGTTATCATGAGTGTATAAGATTTAATTTGCTCATTATATCTACATTATTCTTGTATAGTTATACCTTGTGTGCAACAGCACAGATATTCTAAAAGGAATAATACACAATAATCTAACCAGAGAATTAACAGAGTATTTAGCTAAAATAACAGTAACCACTGACTTAACTTAAACATGTCTCCTCTCGACCAAAGCTGCCAGGCCTCTGACCAAGCGTCGGTTCCCAGGCCAGGCAAACTACCACAATATCAACTAAACATCCACATCAACTATTGTGGAAATTCTACTAACAAAATGTAGTACTAATATTCAAATCATTATTAATCTTAAGAGTATTAAATATTGTTACATTGCGCAATATAATTTACTGGCAGACAATAATAAGAATTAATCCAGGTTGAACTATAACCACTCGCTTAATTGACAACAAGTTCCCACACTGGCCACATCCAAAAATGGTCAACCCCCACATGGAGAAACCAACATGAAAATACTTGCACAAAAGCCTCATACAATATAATGCAACTCAGGCACACTACAGCATGCTACAATATATAACATACAATAATCTAATATCATCCAACTGGATACTATACTAATTATAGAACAAGACAATAAAGTAATATAAGCATCAAGAGTAATGTTAGAATCCGGTCCGTCTAATTACCACAAGCTACCACAAGCTTCACAAAGTTTCCTGGCAATGCGTTGGTAATGAATAAATATGATATATTTACTCATTATAATGTTGGTACTGAATGTACAACACGAAAAAACATAATTTTAATCTGAAAAAATATCTTTTTATAAAGAAATTAGACGAAAATAAGTTTGGTTAAGTTAGGTTAGCCTAACCTATCATATTTATTCATTACTAACGTATTGCCAGGAAGCTTTGTGAAGCTTGTGGTAGCTTGTGGTAATTAGACGGACACTTAGAATCCTAGTAAGATTCGTAACACCATCAACAACTAGCAGTCTTAAGGACCCTACTTGCTACAGCCCATTACTAGTATCAAGGATAGAGGAGTGGCTTTACAACCCAGCATAGGAACCTTACCTTCAGCTAAGAGAGCTTATTTGTGTTGCATTTGATTAATCATTTACAATAATTCTTTAATTTTTAATTCATGGTACTAGTAACCAAATTTTTGGTCTTTTTGAATCTAGATACCAAGTACTTGGACCACATTTTTAGTCCTATGTAATTCTCCTCTTTATCAATTCAAGTATTTTCCTCCACATTTTTGGTCCCTCTTGTAATCAAATATTTCAGTGGTAAAATGCATAAGAAGCTTTTCCATAGGAATAATTATACATAACCTAGCCTATTGCCCTATATACCCATAATTAACTATGGCAAACCCTATTTCATGTGAAAAACAGTAGGGCAGTTATAGAGGATCTTATCAAACTCGTACCAGGGTAATTTATCAAGTAATAATTGTGCAAAAATAGTGCCATTTACTATTTTTAAACAATTATTACCATTTGTTGACTTAAGTGTATACGGGTCCAATACAACATAACTAAATTTTTACATTTTGATAATTGTACAGCCTGTTACTCCAGATTCTAGGGAGGTACTGTATAGAAGGCTGAGCTTTGGAATCATTGCTTACGTAGACAGGATATGTTAGTTATCAAAAATACATATACTGTACATTTATCCTTATTTATCTCGGTGATTAATCCCAGAAAAGTCAAAATGACTTCCAGTATTCCACCACCAGCTGAAACAGGAAATATAAGGACACTCATGGGTCTGCAGAATCACTTATCTCAACTGATTGACAAATGTCAAAAATTTAGCTAGTCAACCATTTCCTAATTATATAACTCTGGATAGCAGGGGTTAAAGCTGCTGTGGCCAAATCTGAACAAATCAAACACTTTTCTGATACTTATTTAGCAGAAATGGCTAAAGCAGATCTGAGCAAAGATGAACTTCAGGATATCATAGCTGAATCGGCTATCTATGAAGACACAATTAAGGATCAACTGGATCCTTTACTCAAACTTGTATCACAAACAGTAGGCCAGCCACATGTGAGCTCATCCAATCAGGTTGGTACCTCAACAGTCCCACATTCTGAAGCAGAGCTTCCAAAGGTACATTACCATATTTTGAGGGCAAGGATGAAGATTAATTGGATACATTCTAGAGAGCCTTTGATTCTATAATACATTCCAAGTCTTCTCTTAGAAAGGCTATTCAATTTCAATATCTGCAAGGCCAATTAAAAGGAGAGGCTAGGCAGGTCATAGCAAACTTGTCATTAATAGATGATGATTTTGACCTAGCCATACAGTTATTACATGATAATTACAGTGATAAGGAGACTGCAATTGCACATCTCTCATACAAATGATTGGATTTACCCTCTTACTAATACAACTTATGAATCACTACAATCATTTTGATTGTCTATAGAATTGATCTCCAAAGCCCTCAGCACTAAAGTACCTGCAGATAATACAGAGTGGCTTATAAAGTTAATCATACAATGGAAACTACCTAATGAGATTATAGACAGCCTATGCTTCCATTATAACGCCAACATTTTTAACATTGAAACAGATCTTTGATGGACTTTGAGCTCACGTATAAAGATTTCGGAGCCAAGGGAAACTTAGAAAGATTAATCCACGAAATATGAATCTTCGGACAAGAACAAGAATGTCCAATCATTAAATCAGAAATCAAAGCCACAGAACTCATCTTCTGCAAAGTGGAAACAGAGTAATGTCAGCTTATATTCAATATCGCCCACAGTAAATAGCAGTGTAGGAAACAAAGCTCCAAAGGCAGATAAGACAAAAGGAGCTAAAAGTGCTCCAAAATGTTTGTCAGGGAGTACATACTGTACAGTATATAGGTGCACTACGTAGACAGTGCCAGCATAATCAATCGTTTGAAATCTCTGAACAGTTTCATCCGTTGTTTGCAGAAGGACGATTCAAGTGAGTGTAACACAATTGCAGACTTGCCATTGTCATAAGAGTACATCACTCGGCACTCTGTGGTGATATCAACACTCAATCTAGATTACGGACAATCAATAATCAACCTACATCTCTGGCAAAGCTAGAGGAGGATAATTCCTCACCAGCTGTACAATTCTGTAAGGTACAGTGGTATGTTAATGCCTTAGTAGCAAAAAGGCCAGAAAACTTATTGGAACATGGATGGTGTATTTGGATTCTTTCATAAGTAACAGTCATTGACACATGAAAAGTTTGCAAAGAGGTCATGAAATCATATCCAGAATTTCCTGAAGAAAGTCTCGGTGAAGAATTCCCGAGCTGTTGAAAACTCTGCTCATATTGGCGCCCAGCAGCAACTGTAGAGTTACACTTGTACACTTGAATGACTCATAAATCTTGGGAGTCTTGTTTTGTTAATTTACCTAAATTTAATTGAGGATTACTAACACTGGTGGCCTTGTCAAGGACAGGAAGCTGGCAGCTTTTCAAAGGTGTTTGAAAATTCTATTTCTAAAATTTCTATTTCTAAAATTCTATTTTATTCTATTTGCCCTGATGATCTTTTCCAGTTGAATTTTAAAATTTAATAAGAGTTTTGGCATTGTGTATAAGATGCCTTGCACCCTTGTCCCTCCTGGTTACCAACAGGGGAGAACACTCTTGTTCACAACTTTGTCCCTCCTGGTTACCAACAGGGGAGAACACACTTGTTCACAACTGAAAAGGATTACAAATGAACTAAGGAGCACCATTGGTCAAAACACATTGAAAATTTTACTCTATAAAGAACATGAACTGATGCATGAAATAGACATTTCCAGTATTAATAAATTTGCTCAAGGTAAAGCTAGAAAATGTAACTTATAAATTATAGTTTTGTTGCTTTTGACACTTGTAATGTATACCTGCACGTAATATTATTGAATTGTGAGACTTGTTTGTTGTATTGTCTGGCAGTATAGCAAATGAAGCAAAGGACTTTACTATGCATGTGAAAAGTTTGTTTTAATATTTGTGTATTTTATTTTAATTCAGGGGCCCCTTTATAAGATAGTCACCTGAATTTACCCAAGGGCAACCAGCTCTCTCTAGTGGCCTCGACGAGGACAGGAAGTCGGCGGCTTGTCAAATGTCCCCCCCTCCCTCCATTTGTTCTGATTATATTGAGTTGGATTATAAATTGTAGGAGTGCCCGCAGTAGCTTACTCCAGCCCTGGGGATTAGTGATAGTCTGGCTCCTGTCAAAGAGTACTCTGGGCTGTCTTCCTTCTGCTTCCTTCATTGCTCTGTCTCCTTATCTTGAATTGTGAATACATGTGCCTGCATCTCAACTCTTCAGCATCTCTGGCTCCTGATTCTTATTTGATGGGAATGTGTAAATGTTGTCATACTTGTTTCAAGGTTAGTGGCTTCCTGCAGTTCTTCACTCATACTATACTAACATTTTGAGATTAGACAATGTCACAATAACATAGTTGCAAATTAGACACAAGCTAGACATTTAAATAATGGTCCTGGATGGACCGGAATGTCATCAATGCTTATATTTTCAGGTTTGTGAGTTGAGTGCCTTTTGATATTAGTTATACTTAATAGAAAAGCCTTTCATTAATCCCACTAGATTAGTTACAATATTTTCATTGCAGACATCCGGCTCCCTGCCCAAGACATCATACTTTAAGCTGGTTGATGTCTGGCTCTTCTTCTCCATCGTCATGATGTTCATTATTGTACTCTTGCAGACTCTCATTGACTTCTACCACCAGAAAATGTTTGATGATAACAGCAGAGTTGTTCAATATTTTGTAAGTGAAATATTATTAGAAATTTATACATTCATTCTTCTCTCGTAAGACTTTATGTTCTAAGCTTAGGTATGGAACTAATATTTACTATTAAGTATGATACTTTAAAGGACAAAATTATAATGCCTTTGAGTGGTATTAGAAATCTTATAAGGATGAACTTGCCCAAAGTATACAAATTAATAAAAGGGTTTAAGAATGAGGATAATAGGTGCTAAATATATTGACACAAAACAGGACATGAACCAGTGCATAAACATTGGACAATTTTACATTCAGAAAAGACCTGGGTAAATACTGGCTTGTAAATATAGTTGTTGATTTAAGGAATAGGTTACCAAGCAACATAATAGATGTGCAAGCACATGATTGTTTCAACATTAGTTTAGATATGTGAATTTGGGTGGGTATAAATAGGAGCTGCCTCACATAGGCCAATAAGCCTGCTGCAGCTCTCCCCTATAATTATACTCTTAAATAATGTTAGATAACCTTTTTTGTCAGCTGTGACAGTCTGACAAGTTAGTTGTGTGTAAACTTAGACAGGTTCATATTGTGAAGATAGTGTGGGAACATCTCTTGAGGAGGCAGGAACGCCTATTTAGAATACTTGCACACCTCTTGCAACACCATTTAGAGCCCTTGGAACATGAACAAATAATAATGGAGCACAGGACAATGTAGGAAATATATTAGACCTAGAAACGGGCCCCTGAGAGAAGTGAGATGGCATCACTCCTGCGTGGCACCATCTCACCCCCTCTCAGCAATATATTGTATGTAAAAAAAGAACATAAATTCTTACTGTTTATGTATTTTCAGAGAAAAATGTACACGAGCTACTGCAAAATAATGCAAAAATTTACTGAAGAAAACAAACTGACAAATGAGTTATCTGATAAAGATTCAACACCAAAAGCTAAATCAAATGGCATTCAAATTGAAGTAAAGAGCCTAGAGATTTGTCGTTCCAAATCCCGAACGAGAAGTTGTGTGAGCGGCGGAGGCCCAGAAGCGGCAGACACTGATGGTGTAGAGAGCGAGGCGGCGCGACGCATACCTGTGTATGGACGTGCTGTGCGGAGGATAGACTGGACCACCAACCAGGATGTCAACATGAGACTCATGGAGAAGAGCAGGGTCTTGATCCCTGCTATCTTCATCATATTCAACTGCACTTACTGGGGAGCAGCTCTTGGGTACGCCAAGTGGGTTACGTTGTTGTGCTTTCAAACGGTTACAACTCCTGCCATCTAACCCTGCTCCTGTCACAGCCCCTGCCATCTACCTCTTGCTCCTGCCACAGCCCCTGCTCCTACCACAACCACTGCCATCTACCCCTTGCTCCTACCACAACCTGTACCATCTACTCCCTGCTCCTACCACAACCCTTACCATCTACCTCTGCTTCTACCCCTTGCTCCTGCTACAACCCTTGCCATCTAAATCTGCTGCTACAACAACAACAACCATCTATCATCCCTGCTCCTTCCATCTACCTCTGCTTCTACCCCCTGCTCCTACCACAACCCTTGCTTCCGACCATTACTGCAACCTCCACTGTCTACCCCTATCCCCAGCCTCTACCACATGCCCTGCTGTCCACTCCTCGCTCCTACCCTAACCCCCGCCAGCTATCCTTACCCTCTACTACTACAACCACAGCAACCTACCCCTTCCTGCACTACTATTTGTTGCTTCTCTGTTCATTATCCCTACTATCTACTTAATTTATCAAGAAGAATAACTTCATAATACATAATGAACAAGTCTATGACCCTTGAATGTATAAGTGGTTCAAGTGGCCAGTTGTGAAGTCTTGTGAAATCTTCGGCGATTTCTCAAGGTGTCACGAGGACTACGACGATTCCTGAAGGTGTCACAGAGAGCATGGAGACTATCAAGTCATGTATGTACAGTATTTCACATTACAATTTTTATCTTCTCATGTGATAAGGTCTACCTTAATGTAAGTTTAAATTTTTATAGTGTATCTGTTCTAAATTTGATTTCCAGACCTGGCCCCTCAAAGAGGCACGAGGAGCAATGGCCTATAGACACCTCCGTGTAGTTGGAAGCAGTCTAGATCTGCAGTCTATCACCATCTACTAGGTCAGGCACCTAGAAAGATAGGAATCCCAAAACAAACTACAGCTGGTGAAAAATTGCTAACCAAAAGTCGAACGAGCCAGCAGAACTCCCCAATCAGAAAACAAGCATGATGTCACCACAGTCTACGCAACTTCCCCCCCTCCCCTGGAGGGGGTTCCAGACCTCCCGCGCCGGCTACTCAACCCCTGTTTAGTGGCTGAATATCAAAAACACAAAAACCCTTTGACTGGAGGGAGGGATGCCAGGGAGCTCTGGGTCTCGCCCAGAAAATCGCGTTTCATTACATTCAATGCTGTTTTTTTGTGGAAAGCTTCTTGGGCTCCCTGGAGTTACCTAGCCAAAGATAAAGTAAAAGAGGGACTTACCCAGGAGATGGCTGCCACTTGCTCCTCAACTCAAAGTCAAGACAACTGGCTGCAATCTGCAACCCAAGGCTACACACACCCGAGAAGGGCCAGGAACAGTAACAAGGTACAGTACGGCCAAGACCCTGTTCGACCTCCAAAAGCCCCGTGCCCGAATGTCGGCCGAGATCGTTGTGGGCATGGGGATAGACCACAGGCTGGCTGGACCAAATAATCCTGCAGACGACTTGAGAGACCCACGCCCTGGAACAGGGAAGAAAGGAAACCAGGTCAACCCAAAGTGCATCCCCTGCCACGGAGGCCATGGTGCACAAGTAACGGCTAAGAGCTGCAACCTGACACAAAACACAATGCACCCCCGGCCCAACCAACCAAGCATCAGCAACCCATGGACCCCTCCAGAAAGCAGCAGTTTCATTCTTCGCCAGAAAAGGAGACTGCTGCAAACGAACAAACCGACCACCAGGACCGAAAGAGCTCCCCCTGCCCCAGAGGAGAGCATGAAGCTCCCAGACCCGACCCTCGACCGCCACCCAACACAACAACTTTAGAACTGAGTTTGGGTAGCCAGTGCTGGATGTCTGGGACCCCCCCCCCCCCCACTTTCCCCCTCCCAGGGAGGGGGTAGTTGCACAGACAGTGGCACGGCAGCTGTAGTGACATCATGCTTGTTTTCTGATTGGGGAGTTCTGCTTGCTCGTTTGGATTTCGGTTAGCAGCAACATACCAGCTATAGTTTGTTTTGGGATTCCTACCTTTCTAGGTACTTCACCTGATAGATGGCAGATATAGACTGCTTCCAACCACACGAAAGTGTCTATAGGCCATTGCTCCTCGTGTCTCTCTGAGGGGGGCCAGGTTCTGGCGCTAGTCCTCTGTAGGCCTTGAATTCCATCGATGACTGTTGCCACGGTCTAATATATGCACATCAGCTCGGTATAGTTCTGGGAAGCCGAAGGGGCTCTCCACAGAAAACTACCTTTCTAACATGAATAAGTTTCCATTGTCAGTGGTAATTTAGATCTTCCTTGGTCAGTGATTTAACTTAATTCAAAATGCAACCAACAAGAGCTGCCTAGCACCCAGTAAATAAACAAGGGCATCAGGTGTAAAGAAACTTAACCAGATGACATGCCTAACCCAGGAACCAAGCTTGGGTTCTATCAGTTGTGAGCAGACTACTAATAATGTTAATTGCATTCTTTAATCTTTTACAGGTATGTCAACACCATAGATGATTGAATTGAAAAAGGTGAATAGATACAACAGTGTCCCTAGATGACAACGGCAGTCCAAAACGGCACAAGTACTCCAGATGCTCCTTGATGAAAATGTATTAAAAGAAAATTTTACTAAAGTAGGAATTTGCATTAAGATAGTTAAATATACTATTAAGAATTCAAACTTGCTACTAATTGGGGTTCAAATAAATTAATGCAACAATTATGAGAAAAATCAACACAAGATTTACATACACTGAATAACTTGACATTTCTAAACATTCTTGAATGTCAAGAAACTTTAATGTTTGAATTAGACTTGTCTAAGTCATCATGCTGACTGAAACATAAAATCAAGTAATTTCCTGGCCACACTAGTGTTGGGGTGTAGATGTAGTCACATCTACACGTACATGTCGGCCTCAACCTGGCCACACTAGTGTTGGGGTGTAGATGTAGTCACATCTACACGTACATGTCGGCCTCAACCTGGCCACACTAGTGTTGGGGTGTAGATGTAGTCACATCTACACGTACATGTCGGCCTCAACCTGGCCACACTAGTGTTGGGGTGTAGATGTAGTCACATCTACACGTACATGTCGGCCTCAACCTGGCCACACTAGTGTTGGGGTGTAGATGTAGTCACATCTACACGTACATGTCGGCCTCAACCTGGCCACACTAGTGTTGGGGTGTAGATGTAGTCACATCTACACGTACATGTCGGCCTCAACCTGGCCACACTAGTGTTGGGGTGTAGATGTAGTCACATCTACACGTACATGTCGGCCTCAACCTGGCCACACTAGTGTTGGGGTGTAGATGTAGTCACATCTACACGTACATGTCGGCCTCAACCTGGCCACACTAGTGTTGGGGTGTAGATGTAGTCACATCTACACGTACATGTCGGCCTCAACCTGGCCACACTAGTGTTGGGGTGTAGATGTAGTCACATCTACACGTACATGTCGGCCTCAACCTGGCCACACTAGTGTTGGGGTGTAGATGTAGTCACATCTACACGTACATGTCGGCCTCAACCTGGCCACACTAGTGTTGGGGTGTAGATGTAGTCACATCTACACGTACATGTCGGCCTCAACCTGGCCACACTAGTGTTGGGATGTAGATGTAGTCACATCTACACGTACATGTCGGCCTCAACCTGGCCACACTAGTGTTGGGGTGTAGATGTAGTCACATCTACACGTACATGTCGGCCTCAACCTGGCCACACTAGTGTTGGGGTGTAGATGTAGTCACATCTACACGTACATGTCGGCCTCAACCTGGCCACACTAGTGTTGGGGTGTAGATGTAGTCACATCTACACGTACATGTCGGCCTCAACCTGGCCACACTAGTGTTGGGGTGTAGATGTAGTCACATCTACACGTACATGTCGGCCTCAACCTGGCCACACTAGTGTTGGGGTGTAGATGTAGTCACATCTACACGTACATGTCGGCCTCAACCTGGCCACACTAGTGTTGGGGTGTAGATGTAGTCACATCTACACGTACATGTCGGCCTCAACCTGGCCACACTAGTGTTGGGGTGTAGATGTAGTCACATCTACACGTACATGTCGGCCTCAACCTGGCCACACTAGTGTTGGGGTGTAGATGTAGTCACATCTACACGTACATGTCGGCCTCAACCTGGCCACACTAGTGTTGGGGTGTAGATGTAGTCACATCTACACGTACATGTCGGCCTCAACCTGGCCACACTAGTGTTGGGGTGTAGATGTAGTCACATCTACACGTACATGTCGGCCTCAACCTGGCCACACTAGTGTTGGGGTGTAGATGTAGTCACATCTACACGTACATGTCGGCCTCAACCTGGCCACACTAGTGTTGGGGTGTAGATGTAGTCACATCTACACGTACATGTCGGCCTCAACCTGGCCACACTAGTGTTGGGGTGTAGATGTAGTCACATCTACACGTACATGTCGGCCTCAACCTGGCCACACTAGTGTTGGGGTGTAGATGTAGTCACATCTACACGTACATGTCGGCCTCAACCTGGCCACACTAGTGTTGGGGTGTAGATGTAGTCACATCTACACGTACATGTCGGCCTCAACCTGGCCACACTAGTGTTGGGGTGTAGATGTAGTCACATCTACACGTACATGTCGGCCTCAACCTGGCCACACTAGTGTTGGGGTGTAGATGTAGTCACATCTACACGTACATGTCGGCCTCAACCTGGCCACACTAGTGTTGGGGTGTAGATGTAGTCACATCTACACGTACATGTCGGCCTCAACCTGGCCACACTAGTGTTGGGGTGTAGATGTAGTCACATCTACACGTACATGTCGGCCTCAACCTGGCCACACTAGTGTTGGGGTGTAGATGTAGTCACATCTACACGTACATGTCGGCCTCAACCTGGCCACACTAGTGTTGGGGTGTAGATGTAGTCACATCTACACGTACATGTCGGCCTCAACCTGGCCACACTAGTGTTGGGGTGTAGATGTAGTCACATCTACACGTACATGTCGGCCTCAACCTGGCCACACTAGTGTTGGGGTGTAGATGTAGTCACATCTACACGTACATGTCGGCCTCAACCTGGCCACACTAGTGTTGGGGTGTAGATGTAGTCACATCTACACGTACATGTCGGCCTCAACCTGGCCACACTAGTGTTGGGGTGTAGATGTAGTCACATCTACACGTACATGTCGGCCTCAACCTGGCCACACTAGTGTTGGGGTGTAGATGTAGTCACATCTACACGTACATGTCGGCCTCAACCTGGCCACACTAGTGTTGGGGTGTAGATGTAGTCACATCTACACGTACATGTCGGCCTCAACCTGGCCACACTAGTGTTGGGGTGTAGATGTAGTCACATCTACACGTACATGTCGGCCTCAACCTGGCCACACTAGTGTTGGGGTGTAGATGTAGTCACATCTACACGTACATGTCGGCCTCAACCTGGCCACACTAGTGTTGGGGTGTAGATGTAGTCACATCTACACGTACATGTCGGCCTCAACCTGGCCACACTAGTGTTGGGGTGTAGATGTAGTCACATCTACACGTACATGTCGGCCTCAACCTGGCCACACTAGTGTTGGGGTGTAGATGTAGTCACATCTACACGTACATGTCGGCCTCAACCTGGCCACACTAGTGTTGGGGTGTAGATGTAGTCACATCTACACGTACATGTCGGCCTCAACCTGGCCACACTAGTGTTGGGGTGTAGATGTAGTCACATCTACACGTACATGTCGGCCTCAACCTGGCCACACTAGTGTTGGGGTGTAGATGTAGTCACATCTACACGTACATGTCGGCCTCAACCTGGCCACACTAGTGTTGGGGTGTAGATGTAGTCACATCTACACGTACATGTCGGCCTCAACCTGGCCACACTAGTGTTGGGGTGTAGATGTAGTCACATCTACACGTACATGTCGGCCTCAACCTGGCCACACTAGTGTTGGGGTGTAGATGTAGTCACATCTACACGTACATGTCGGCCTCAACCTGGCCACACTAGTGTTGGGGTGTAGATGTAGTCACATCTACACGTACATGTCGGCCTCAACCTGGCCACACTAGTGTTGGGGTGTAGATGTAGTCACATCTACACGTACATGTCGGCCTCAACCTGGCCACACTAGTGTTGGGGTGTAGATGTAGTCACATCTACACGTACATGTCGGCCTCAACCTGGCCACACTAGTGTTGGGGTGTAGATGTAGTCACATCTACACGTACATGTCGGCCTCAACAACTTGGTGTGGTGACTCCATGAACACTATGGTAATTTCCCACTTTCTTTTTCTTCAATTCTGATGTCAGCTAAACTCAAGTGGACACTTGATACATTTCCCTCAAATATGTGTAGTTTACTGTTATATGTAGAGTTGCTGTAAGGTTGAAATTAAGTACAAAGTAAGTTAGTATGTAGAAATATTTATGTTTAGTTCCTGAAATTTATAAATATGATACACAATACAGTGCAAAATTTAATTTGACAGATTTTGCTTTGACCTTTCAGTAAATTATCTTGGTAATAGTACTATCAACAGTATCAATTTATTTACAAGAATACTGTATTTACTTTTTAACCATTTGAAAGAACAATTAATCCAGACAGCTGCCAGCCATATGCAAAATTACAAAAATATAAAAAATCAACTTTGAATGTAATGAAATCCCAAATTTCTAGGCGAACCCCGGTGGCTCCCTGAAGCTGTTCCTGAAGCTATCATATACTGATATGGTACCAGTTACTAGGTTACATCAGCTGCGAAGTTCAATAGATTTACTGGGGACCAGTACCAGGCCCCTCACAGAGGGGAAGGGCAGTGACATTTATTTATGTATACCACGACGGGAAGGCAACCAGGAAGGCAGCGAGTCTGAACAAACCACTGCTGGCTGCAGTAGTGACCGCACCCTCTAAAACCGCCAAAAGAGCTCACCAGTTATGTAAACTAATGATTGAAATCTCTTGGAACTAATGGAAGCTCATTCGTCCCACCTCCCCTACTCCTTTGGGGAGAGTGGTGGAGGCAGCTCATGGTCACTTGGCATCTCCACCCTCAGTTCTAGGCAGATTTAGCCAACCATTTCTTCCCTTTTACCTGACAACCAGGAAGGGAGGGAGGGGATCAGGGAACCTCTGGGACTTGCCCAGAAATTGGCATTTATTACTCTCAATGCAGGTCTTCTGGGGAAATCAGTTAGTTAACCCCCACCATTTATCCATCCAGTTAGTTACCCCCCCATCATCCATCCATCCAGTTTTCCCTATAATTTATTCATCCAGTTAACCAGACCACACACTAGAAGTTGAAGGGACGACGACATTTCGGTCTGTCCTGGACCATTCTCAAGTCGATTGTGATGAGGAGGTAGGGACAGGCAATAAATAGGCAAGAGAGAGCTGAGGAGGAAAGTCAGGTGTAGGGGATAGTAGTAATGAGAACTGCAGAAGGCCTATTGGCCCATATGAGGCAGCTCCTATTATAACCACCGAAGGAGATATTAATAGGAATAAGAAGAGGATAGCAAGGGAGCATAGGAGAAGACAATGAACAGAAGAAGGGAGAAGAAAGAA